ATACATCTATATCTAGATATACATCTATATCTAGATATACATCTATACATCTATATCTAGATATACATCTATACAAGACAAAAATATCTGCTGTGTAAATTGTATGATGTGTACGATTTATGGAAATCAGAAGATTGTTTGCAAACGATTTGTGAAGTTTAAACATGACAGAAGTTAGTGTTGAACTTTGTCCTTCTAAGCTCAACATTCTGTTGCAGAATTTAAAAAATAAAGATTCATAAAAGTTAAACTGAGACTGTGTAAAAACTGTAAAAGAGCTCAAAATGCCAGTTCAGTCATGTAAAGTGCAGTTCTCTGTGACCCGGGTGAAGTTTGAATGAGGATTCTGCTGTGAGGTCCGTTTGTGCTGCAGTGCTCCTCTAATGAGGCCTACACTTCTTCATGCGCACGCACACACACGCACACACTCCCCTGGTGTCTGTGTGGAAATGTTTGATCTTAGTTGCAAATTTTACTCTTGTTCTTGGTCGGCGCACGTTTTATAGTTCTACGTTTTTGTGCCAACCTCCTGGAGGAGTAGCAACCGTTTCTTATTCAGTCTTTGTCCTAGCGTTTCCCAGTTCACCAGTTCATTTCTCCTCAGTCAGTTTCTCCTTGTTTAGCTCTGGCCCCACCCACTCACACCTGTTCGCTGTTGTCATCACGCCAGGTGTTTCCACTCCTCTCATCAGCCTCTGAACTCACTTCATCCTCAGCTGAACATTATGTTTTGTGCCATGTCCACTTCTCCTTGGGGTTTTTTAAGTCTCTATTAGTTTTTGCTGCCAAGTCAGCTTTTTGTTTTGTATATTTATTGTTAAGTTTTTAATTCTTACTCGAGCTCTTCAAGTTCAGTCTGCATTTCTGGGTCCAACCTCCACAATCCATCACCCATGAGGGAAAAACGTTGGCTCTTTTATTGGAAAATATTCAAGTCTTCAATTTCTTTTGGTTTTTTTTTGTCATGAAACACATTATATAGAATAAAACCCAATCCCTTCTGAGCTAATCCTTTCAGAATATTCTACAAATGATACTGGAGTGTCTCTGCATGCACTCACGTACAGTCGCGCTTCAATAACTTTGTGCAGTATACTCCAAAATAAATTTAAAAATCAATGTTAAACCATTAAAAACACTCTATACTTTGCCCAAAGATGCAGCTGCTTCAGAGTCAGAGTTTCTTTATTGTCATTCGCACCTCATGTGGTACATGTGGTGGAGCGAAATTATGTACACAGGGTCCCAGTTACATCCAACAATAAAATGTATAAGAAAAACAGTAATAACATCTAAGATATGAACTAAGAAAAACATCAACTAAATATACACTAAGCACTAAAGTCAAACCAGTGACAACCCATTATGATCCACCTGAAAAGGGTCTTCCTCTTCTGTCAACTTTAATGTGGCCCGAACCACAACGTGTACCCTCACAAATGTTGCATCAAAACGACCGGTTCAGCACCGGTCGGACGACTGAGCATGAACTTTGATGACTCCAACACGCAGCGTTGTCAAATTACATTTTCTAAATGGCTGCAATATGGCAGTCAGTCCCCGTCCATGTTTCTCCAGGATCCTTCTGGTCATCTCACCTTGTTTGGGGGTGTTCCAGTCAACAATGAGCCAGGCGGTGTAAACAGCAGCGATCAGCCAGCAGTCGGTGCAGAACATGTAAATCAGCAGCACAGTGCAGGCGATACCTGCAGAGGAAGAGGAGAAAACGCATGGAGTTACACCTCAATGTATTCACACAAGTGTTCAGAGAGGTCACAGACTGTACGCAGCTTCATGATTTGAGCTTCTTCTACTCAAATAAAAACTTGGCACATCTTAAAGGAATGCACGTCAGCTGCCGTCCATGCCACAGTTTGAGACGATGATTCTCTTGTGGTAAGAAATTATGTTTTAGTCAAAATAGTCACAACATTGTGGATGACTTGCAGCTAGCACCACATCAATCTTCAGCTGAACGTCCCATTAACGGAGTAACTGTGTATATAGTGAGACGAATGCAGATAAGCTGTGGCAGACACCTTGAAATACACGGACTCTGAAAAGCAATCAGTTGAAGATAAATCCAGTGATTGCTTTCGAAGAAGCGTGGAGTATTGTCCACGTTAGGAGCTGCTAAATTTAGTCAAAATTCACTCGTGAGATATTTTGCGAACAGACGGGAACAGGAATCCACTCGGAGCTGAGCAAAAGCATCATCGCCCAGGACACACTCACCCATAGCCAGGAAGGTGATGACCCACTGCAGCACAGAGATGACCTGCAGATGTTTTTCCATCTTGGACCTGCAGGGCCAGAGTGCTGCTGGCAGGTCCTGCAAGGCAGAAAGGATGCTGGAGCCAGTGCCTGAGCAAAAAAAAAGAAAAATGATCTCAATCTTCATGAAGCCAGCACAAAAATCAGAGGAAAATGAGGTTTTTGTTGGGAAATTCAACTGCAAATCAACATTTTGTATAAATCCTGAGTGGACGGCGTGGAGTTAATTATCTCCACAGCGCTGCGTCTAACGTCTGCATACATGAATGAACAGAACCAACCAACTGAGGCTGCACTGCTTCAGATCCCGACCACCACTCTGCAGCGAGTGAAGCCGCGCAGATTCACCACGTCACGCCTCCATAGGAGCTCCTAAAGCTTGTCAAGCTGAGAGCCACTAAGCAGAGAAGCTCCCCTCCTGGAAAAACGCTGCCGTCTAATCCCATCTGGGCTCACTGAAAATAACCCAGTTCCAGGATTCTTGTAGTAATACCTGTAAACTGGGACGCTCCTTAAGACCTAACGAATGGGAGCAAAACTCTGCAGCTAAAGACTCTTTCCAAGTAGATCTGTGCTCAGACTTTGTGTCTGAGAGCCACAGATCTCCAGTGATGTGCTTTAAGAGATGCTCTCCTGGAAACATGAAGGTGTTGCAGGTGTGAACTTTCTACACTGGCTCCAAGTGTAACATGCTTTAAAATGCAGGGAGTGGTGAGAGAAGTCCTCCATCTGTGTGTGAGTACTGCTTGGTTGGAGGCAGCAGAAGGAACTGCAAACACTTGATTTGTGCGACTCCGGCTGTATATGAAGGTTCGTCTGCAGCCGAGCTGCTGGAGTCTGCAACACAAACATCTAATCGGTCATTATTGGGGTCGTAGGTTAAGCAGGAGGTGGGGCCATGAGTCATTTCCAAAAGGTTGTGTTTAGTCTGTCCACACAAGAACACAACAGTGACATTTAAGGGTTTTCTAGAACCCAGTTTAAAAACTAATCACGTTTCCTCCTGGAAGCAAAACTGAAACATTAAAAAAATAATAATTCCAGTGAGGGGCCAAATGGTTTCAGTTATAAATTTATGATGTAAAAGTATATTTTTTGCCCTGATCCATGCTCAATAATCCAGGTAGAAAAATCTAAGGTTGAGTCGGGTCCTCTGGACGGATTCATCTTTTGTTGAAACGTTTCGTGTTTTGTCCAAAAGACTTCTTCAGTCCGAGGAGCTGCAACGAACTCAGTCTAATAAACGGCACCTTCTCATGGTGGATCAACCAGTTTGCTGCTGACCGCCAGAACCAGCTAGTCGCAAGAAAAAGGAGGACCATCAGCCCTGATGGCCACTTGTTATTCACAGAAGGCTGCGTGCTTGCAGGTGCATTGCATCTCTCAGCTTTCTGTGAATAACAAGCGGCCATCAGGGCTCCAACGATGGACTGGAGGTCCTGATGGTCCCGACTTTAGTTACAGCTTCTCAGGCTGAAGAAGTCTTTTAGATAAAAGACGAAACGGTTTCAACAAGAAGAACCTGTCCAGAGGACCCGGCTCGACCTCGTCAGATCCATTTTTTGCCATTTAGTCCAAATGATTTGCAACATGTCCATGAAATGTCAGAACGACTGAAACAAAGAGGTCAAGCCGTTTTCTAAAGCCCATCCAGTCCAAATGTGCAGCTTCTCATCATGTCAGTACCACAATCATGCAGCTCAAGTTTTTACTAAAATGTTTAAAAGTCATTAACACAGTTTTACCGTTAAGGTCAGAGCGAACGGCCTGTTTTTCATTTACACGACTTTCCGACAGTCAAATTCCAAAAATCAACCAGAAAACTCACATTTTTAAAGGATGTGAATAAAATCAGGGTTTTGCACTTTCATTTAAGACTGACATTTTTAAAGGAATTAAAATATAGCGTTACAGAAACACACAGTTTTGCATTAGTATGTAAAAAGATGAGTGAATAAATAAATGACTGAACTGCTGGAGTACATAAAGACTGTTTTAAAGACTTAGCTCGCAGCAGTGATGCGTTTTGTTCTGGTTTCTCACCAACATGGTCTGGATTAAACACGGGGTCAGACTGTGTGTAGAATTTAAAACACTTGTCTTAACATGTGGGGAAATGTTTAAAGAACCGTTTCACAACAAAACAAACAAACAAACAAACAAACAAGTAGATTTGTGGCTCCATTAAAAAAACTTCTTAAGAAGGAAAAACTGGTTGGAATGGCTCTTTGAACATTCAGACCTCTGGCATGGGGTGTCTGAGGTGGTTTTACTTGTGCACATCAGTTTTTAATTCCATCTGAACTGTCATTACATCTGGTGGAGTTCATCAGAAGGTCTGTGCGTGTGCGTGCGTGCAGCAGCAACATCTCAACACAAAGCTCTTACCTTTGAGGACCCCTGAATATGCTGCTAGAATGGTCTTCATGGCTGACGCCTGGAGAAAGTGGCTGAAGTGACTCGAGTCCAAACGTTAGAGCAGCTGCAGCTCCGAGGACATGCCTGCGCGCGGCAGCAGGGACTGACGCCGGCCAGCGCGCACACAGACCCGGGATGGAGCTCAGCTGTCTGGGGGCTCCAGGGGTCCTGTCTGTCTGACTGACTGACTGTCTGTCTGACTGTTGGAGTGCCCGCGCCGCGCGCAGCTCTCTGTATTTATGAGCGCAGTCACGTGGGTCAGCTCAGCTGCGCGTGAACACCTTCCTCCTCCTCGTGGAGTGGAGCTGAGGCAAACAGGAGGTGCCTTCCTGCCGGTGGAGATGGTTACTCAGACACTTGACCAGGATTTTGTCTTATTTAAAGGGATAGTTCAGCCGTTTGGAGGAAGGGGAAAGTCTGGTGACGTCATGTAGGGGTCCGCAACCTGCGGCTCTGGGGTCCTTCTGCAGCGGGTCCTGGAAACTGAGCAAAACGTGCATGAAATTGAATTTTACTGGTTTTTAAACACACGGGAGAATCTCCTGATGCATGCTCAATAATCCAGGTAGAAAAATCTAAAAAAGTTAAATCTGGTCCTCTGGACATTCAAAAAAAAAACCAAACAAAACAGCAAATCAACAAAAAAATGTAGAAACGTTTCGTCTCTCATCCAAGAGACTTCCTCAGTCTGAGGAGCTGTTTTCAGCTCAGTCTCTTAAATAGCACCTTCTCAGAGTGAATCAACCAGTTTGCTGCTGACAACCAGAACCAGCTGATCACATGCTCAAGAAGGACCATCAGCCTAACAATGGATCATTAGCACCTGATGGCTGTTTACTGTTCACAGAGGGCTGAGTGATACTAGCAATCACAGCATTGTAAGAGGGGGACAGTTGAACCCGGAGGCCTCCACCCCTGTTTAATGATGGACGATTTCTTTTCACAAAGAAACCACATCAACTCTGTGGATAAATACATCAAGTTCACACGAGAGGATGTAAAAAATGGCAGGTTGGCTTTCTTGGACTGTGAGGAACAAACGAGTTTACCGGGAGCTGTCGGAGAAATCGGTCATCCACGACTACAGGTCCTTCTCAAAAAATTAGCATATTGTGATAAAGGTCATTATTTTCCATAATGTAATGATAAAAATGAAACTTTCATATATTTCAGATTCATTGCACACCAACTGAAATATTTCAGGTCTTTAATTGTTTTAATACTGATGATTATGGCATACAGCTCATGAAAACCCAAAATGCCTGTCCCAAAAAATTAGCATATTTCATCCCACCAATGAAAGACAAGTGTTTTTAATACAAAAAACACCAACCTTCAAATAATCTTGTTCAGTTATGCACTCAATACTTGGTCGGGAATCCTTTTGCATGAATGACTGCTTCAATGCGGCGTGGCATGGAGGCAATCAGCCTGTGGCACTGCTGAGGTGTTATGGAGGCCCAGGATGCTTCGATAGCGGCCTTAAGCTCATCCAGAGTGTTGGGTCTTGTTCTCTCAACTTTCTCTTCACAATATCCCACAGGTTCTCTATGGGGTTCAGGTCAGGAGAGTTGGCAGGCCAATTGAGCACAGTAATACCATGGTCAGTAAACCATTTACCACTGGTTTTGGCACTGTGAGCAGGTGCCAGGTCGTGCTGAAAAATGAAATCTTCATCTCCATAAAGCTTTTCAGCAGATGGAAGCATGAAGTGCTCCAAAATCTCCTGATAGCTGCTGCATTGACCCTGCCCTTGATAAAACACAGTGGACCAACACCAGCAGCTGACATGGCACCCCAGTGACTGTGGAAACTTGACACTGGACCTCAAGCAATGTGAATTCTGTGTCTCCTCTCTTCCTCCAGACTCTGGGACCTTGATTTCCAAAGGAAATGCAAAATGTACTGTAATCAGAGAACATAACTTTGGACCACTCAGCAGCAGTCCCAGGCGAGATGCTTCTGACGCAGTCTCTTGTTCAAGAGTGGCTTGACCTGGGGAATGTGGCACCTGTAGCCCATTTCCTGCACACGCCTGTGCACGGTGGCTCTGGATGTTTCTGCTCCAGACTCAGTCCACTGCTTCCACAGGTCCCCCAAGGTCTGGAATCGGCCCTTCTCCACAATCCTCCTCAGGGTCCAGTCACCTCTTCTCGTTGTGCAGCGTTTTCTGCCACACTTTTCCCTTCCCACAGACTTCCCACTGAGGTGCCTTGATACAGCACTCTGGGAACAGCCTATTGGTTCAGCAATTTCTTTCTGTGTCTTACCCTCTTGCTTGAGGGTGTCAATGATGGCCTTCTGGACAGCAGTCAGGTCGGCAGTCTTACCCATGATTGTGGTTTTGAGTAATGAACAAGGCTGGGAGTTTTTAAAAGCCTCAGGAATCTTTTGCAGGTGTTTAGAGTTACGTCGTTGATTCAGATGGTTAGGTTAATAGCTTGTTTAGAGAACCTTTTCATGATATGCTCATTTTTTGGGACAGGAATTTTGGGTTTTCATGAGCTGTATGCCATAATCATCAGTATTAAAACAATTAAAGACCTGAAATATTTCAGTTGGTGTGCAATGAATCTGAAATATATGGAAGTTTCATTTTTATCATTACATTATGGAAAATAATGACCTTTATCACAATATGCTAATTTTTGGAGAAGGACCTGTATGTGTTGACCATCAAGACGCTGTCCAGGTCACACGTCGGTGAAATACAAACATCTAGATCAAATGAGGTCTGGTTTAATATAATTCCATTTTTTCACACGTAGTTGTGCTTTTCTTGTTTTTGCTGTGTTTTTTCAAATTTAGACCTCCGTGACCCAAAATGGAAGAAACGGGTAAAAGATAATGGATGGATGGATTTTTCAAATTTAATTTTGTTTTTTGAAATGTAATTCCATTTTTTCAAATGTTGTTCATTTACACCTCAGGGCCACCGTGCAAATCACTCAAATATACAATTAACTGAGCAGAAGCTAGTGTGCAAATAGCCAAATGTAAAACTATCTTTAAAAAAAAACACCATAGATTTAAAATGATAGTTTGAAACATTACTAATATAGACAGAAAGGAGAAATACTGAATGTGTTTAGTGCATAAATAGCTTCATGTTTAAATACAGTACAATCCAGTTTAGAGCCACAGAAACCATCGTGTATATATAAAGTCTACTCAGTTAGACCCTGAACCTCTCAGCTTCTTGATTTTATGTAACAGTTTGGCTGAAGGCACTACTGTAATTTTTAATATTTACTGTGACTTCTCCCAATACCCTTTTCAAATGAAACATTATTTCCAGTCTGCAACAGGAGAAAAAAGGGTTTTGCACTTTGTATCTGTTGCAATTCTCCCTAAAACTAATGTCCCATCTTCAGTGGGACCAAGCCAAGATTCACAACAAGTTTCTGATTATAAATTGATTGCACAGTCCTTGGCATGAAGCTACTGTTGAGAAACATCTGGAAACATCAGTAATACTGAGAGCCAGGTTTACAGTACAGTCTTTGATAACCTTTATTGCTGTTGCAGTTTTAGATAAGATGGTAATTTGGTAGCTCTCAGACGTTCTCATCTGAAGTGTTTGTGTTTAAAAGGCAGGCTATATTTTCTGACCTGTTGAGGCAAATTGATCAGATTGATGAGATATATTCTTATATGAGCCACGATGTGTACACCGTATCTATACAATTTCAAATTATCCACACATGTGACTTTGTTATCATGCACACCTGTTTATGTTCTATAGTTCAGGTTCAAAACAGATTCATCATTTGCTCCAGCAAAAAGTTTCCTGTTTCATGTGTGATTCAGCTGCTGCTGAATTCATGTCAATTAGAAATGTGCAGCTCACGCAAAATAATATACAAGGCAAAGTTCACAGACGGCCTTATCATTTGAATTATTGATGCAAAACTTTTATGGTGTCATTTAGATTTAACAAAACATTGATGCATTCGAAAGAACGTTGTTGCTTGCACAAACACACACAGTCATACATATATATATATATATATATATATATATATATATATATATAT